TGTCCATCCCAGCTTTGCCACTTCCAGGACATGCTGGCCAGCCTTCAATGGATTCAGGAGTAACAGTTGGAGGTACGTATTTCCTAGCAAAAATAATATTATTAGCAACAAAAGCAAAAGGTTTTTTGCAGTTATTTTTGGTTTAAATTATTTTCTGAATCCCGCTACTTTTTTTTTTCTTTATATCTTTCCATGCAGTTTTTTTTTTCTGTATTATTTTCTCGATTTTTTTCTTCCCTTTGTTCATAGACCCAGTACTAATGATATTTTTCTCTTCAAAACCCAACTTATATCGTCAAGATGGAAAGAGTGTATCTTCTGCGAGATTAAATCGGGTTTTAAGAGAAAATTCATTAAATCTAATCCCATTAATTTTATTACTTTATCATTCGATCATTTTAGTTCTAAATTCAAAACCAAGCTAATTCGGTGAAAAACGATTTGGACTGGATTAGTTATTGCATTTGATATTTTTTTATTCTAATAAAGGAAATAACTAAACTTTAAACTACAAATATAAAAATAATAAAAAATAATTAGCAGTATGAACTATTTCATCTTTAAGTTATAACCTAATAACCTAATAACCTAATTGATATATAATAGCAAATTCTAGCGTCAGATTTCTTCTCAAAACCAAATGACATTAAATAAAGTTTTTCAGCACATATATAAAGTCTCATGACAAGAATGAGGCAAACGATGTCAGACTGTCTAACACCTTTCCCCTCCATAGATGTTTGCCAAACCAGACAATTCTAATAGAATAGACAATTACCACTATGAGCTACAAGCTTTGATACTATGTCAGTTTTCGTCATAAAATCAATTAGCACTATGTAAAATGGTATCGAAGTCATTCCAAACTTATGTTAATAATATTTATTATTTGTTGATCGTATCATATGTAAGCTACACTCGTTCCAAATCAATCTTTGTAGATTGTCTTGCTCATAATTGGCCTAAAAAATTGGTGAGCCCGTGGGATTATTTTGGTTGCTGACTGACCACACATGAATGTCTGCAGGTTATCATGATGTTACAACTTCTAGATTCTCCTTGCAACCACAGAATCCTAGTCTTAACTCTTCCATTCAGTTTGATGATAACGCATTTTCTCTACAAAACCAGTTGATGAGTGTTCCACACCATGCCCAACTTCCAAGAAATGAGAATGGACTAACTGTTGGTCCTGAACAATCATCTACACATGGCTTTGAGCCTGTCAGCATTTCAAATCCTACTTATAGAGGAGTTGAAGAATACTTCCCTGAGGAAGAAATTCGTATTAGAAGTCACGAGATGCTAGAAAATGAAGATATGCAGCAACTACTCCGTATGTTTAACATGGGGGGCCAACCAAATCCTACCTTTAATGGCCATAATGATGGGTACCCTAGCTCATCTACATACATTTCTGCAAACCCCATGGGCTACAATTTTGATGATGAACCAAATCGTTCCTCAGGCAAAGCTGTTGTAGGCTGGCTCAAGCTGAAGGCAGCATTAAGATGGGGGATTTTTATTCGGAAACAAGCTGCTGAGAGACGGGCACAACTTGTTGAATTGGACGACCCATAGAGATCTTTAATGAACTGACCGATAGTTTTTTCTAGTTATAGCATTCATGGCTTCTTTGCTGACATTCCGAATTGTTCTCATGCTAAAATTTCACAGCATGAGAAAGGATATGAAATCTGGATTGAACTATATGGTGCAGACTTAACTCAAAGATTCCAATGTGCCTTGATATATATAATAACTGTTGCGCATAGACCTCTGCCTGTAGAAGAATATCACTATGCAACATCTCTTCTTTAACTGCTTTCCTTGTGATGTTTACTTGAGCATTCTTACGCCCAATTTGTAGAGGCTTGAGAGTCTGCTTGTTTTTAAACTGAAGAGTCTGCTGCAATCCGCTTAAACCCGGCAAAGCTCCAAGTGAAATTTCAAGAAGCTACAATCTTTACTACATTTACCGGGCTGTATTCAATTATGTAAGTAAAGCTAGCTAGATATGTTCATCCTAACTGAAAGTTAATGCTCTGTGGCATTATAATTATAATTAATTCCATCTGCAATGTGCTTCGAATACCTCTGTTTGCTGCCTGTGTACTTTATGGTTGTTTCGGCATCTGTATAACTTAGCATATTGACGTGACGTAGTCCGTGATACTCTATCAAAATATGAATTGAAAAGGATGCTAGATTTGACTGCTTGTAATACATGTGAAGAAGTATCATTATAAACAGAGATAATACATTGAGTTTATTAGTGTAATATGTGTGGGTTCTTTGAGAGAGACACAGGCAGATTGAACATTAGGAATAACAAATTCACACGAAAGATTAAGATATTATTTTCAATCTAAACCATAAAGATAATAAATTTTTGAATTTTTTTTACTTAAATATTGTTTATTTTACTTATTTTTAATTTGAAACTTTTAGCCTATCTTAAATTCCAAAGATAGTATTTAAACATGATTAATTAATTAAAAAAATCATCTTAGGAAAACAAATTGTGATTACAAAATATGCCCCTTTGTAATTTGTAATTTGATAACTACCAAAATGTCTCGTGAATTAGTATGTCTCTAGAAAAATTATGAGCAATTTGATAAAAGATCGCATTCGGTTTTCTTAAGAAATGACAATGAGTTTATTTATTAGATATCTGGGGATTGACATATAAACAGATCTAAATCTCTCAGCAATAGAAAAGTACTTGTCTCAATTATTTGGCAACAAAAGTTGCAAGCACAGGGATTTAATAATAAAATTTCCAATTTGATTTTGATATTTGTTCTGATGATATGATTTACTGGGGAGGGTTTACATGATGAATAGACATGCTTTCTAAAACTATTTTTGTTATTTTAAGTTTTTTAATAGGCTTGATGGTGGTACTTAGTTATTGCAAGAATCAATATCTTGCCTCATGATTTTGGAAGAGGATAAACAGATATTCCATGTAACTAAAAAGCTGAAGTTTCCAATCAGACTTGTAACAAACCTTGATCTCAACAATTCTCCTCGATCTCACTTCCCACATTGATCTACTGCAATATCTATAAAAGGCAATGCTTAGCTTCCTCTGCTCAACATACTCTAGTTCTAGATAAAGATGAAGGTCAACGTAAGAATCATTGCCCCCTCCTTTTTTTCAGCTTTTAAAGCTTCGAACTGCATCAAAACCTTTTCTGATTCAACTGAGAAATCGATTTGCAAGAGTATTTGATTCCATCTTCAGTGATGAAGTTCATATCAGAAGGAAGAAAATTTCATAAAAGAGGCGCGTGTCGTGTAGTTAAACACTCCAACGCTGAATCCCTTCCTTACAGTAATCTTCCCAAATTCTTCCTCCCAAAATTCCCGATTTTCTTTTCTGAACCAGACAACACCTTCCAATAGTAAATAGTTTGTCTTTTTTTTTTCAAATAATGAAAGAGATCAGAAACACAAACGAAATTCTAATATCTGGGGAAGGATTCCATACATCATAATTTAATCTGAAGTACATAAACTAGCGAGAGCAGAGCTGCATGTTAGTAATTATTTTTTAAATTTTAAGAGCTAATTTGAGTCATTATTAAATGTTATAATTAAAAAAATATAAAAACCAAATGCTAAAATATATACTTTAAATTATTTTTCAAAATATATTAAAAAAATTAAATGAAACAATTGCAGAAAAGTCATGTCAAGGAGAATACATCGCCAAAGATGATTTTAAAAGAATTGTGTACGTCAAATAATCTTTATTGCATATTTTTATTATTTCATATCATATTATATATATATATATATTATATAATATAATTCTTATTTTATGCAGTTTTTTATTATATAAAAAATAAAAAATTAAATTTATTAACGATTGAAGTTAAGCTATGAAAAAATATTTCAATTATATAAAATCAAACATGATAAGTATTTACAGAATAAATAATTACGTATAAAATGTGAACAGTTATCCTTATACTGTAGGTGGAGCGAGATTCTCTACTAATCTTTTTTTCCTTTTTCTACTTCAATGTTTTAATTTCTTCTTTTTACATTGTGTTAACTTGTAACATCCTCATAGTGCAAAACAATAAATCAGAACACTATATTTTGTCATCCAACTGTAAACAGATAAACAAAGTATATAATTATTTCATTACCGTCATCCCAAAAGGCATTGGTTAAAAGGCATTGTTGTAACCAAGATAAATTCATATACAATCCCAATAACAACTATAAGAAGATAAAACTATAGGATTTAAAAAAAAAAACGAATAACGAAGTACTAATATAAAATGTAAACAGTTGCAGCTTCATCACCATTTTATGATAGACCAATACTTAATTCCTAGTCTCCTCGCACTAAAACATGAACACACAAAAGGGTACACAAAAGAGCAAGCTACACATATTATTAATTAGAGTTTCAAAACGTGCTAAACACATCAAATTAAACAATATCACTTAACAAATCACACACAAATCAAATTAAACAATATCACTTAACAAATCACACACAAAAACAACTCTACACTCAATTATCTAAATCTACGCAAAATTCTTGATAATTTTTACACTTGTGATTACTAGTACTTTACAAATCTATTGTCAATAAATTTTATTCTACCATTCACAAAGTTAATCCATTTACTATCATAATAATTAATTTATTTTATTAATTATTTTCCAGATTTTGTAACTACTTTTTAATTATAACTATTTTTTGTAAAATGTAATTTTATAAATTTAATAATATTTTTTACTTTAATAATAGTTAAAAGAATTAATTTGTATTTATTATTATAAAGTAAACGTGGACATGGTTTTCACTAATCTTATTAATGAACATAACAGGATGACGTGTAAACATTTTCTCACATCATCTCTAGAGGTAAATGTAAAGATTAAATGTCTTGACAATAAATATTAAGAGACAAATACTTACAGAATTACAAACTTAAAAAGAAAATATCATGTTTTGATAGATAAAAAAAATCAACTCAAAATATCGCATGAAAATATTTGATACATTTATCAATGTAATGGCAAGGAAAATAACGCAAAAGCGTAGTTAAATCTATTTAACAATTGAAAGCATTACTTCACGAAAGCCAGTCAATTATTGCATTTAAATATGTCATATTTAAGTTTAATTTTTGTTCCATCGCCTAACATTTAATTCATCTACGAATATGACAGATAAAAATTAATTTCTTCCATTACTCTATCAAATTTCTCCATCCACTTCATCCTTCTAGATTTCATTTCTCGGAATACAATAAATTTCAAAAAAATTTATACTCTATCCGGAATAAAAGTGGATGAATGTTTATAAATGTCTTCTAGAAAAATGTTTCCGGAATTAATTTAGTGTATTCCAAAAAATAATAATCTGAAATGATAAAATATTGGAAGAAATTTGGTAAGACGCATGAAGAAACTGCCCAGATGAAAATGGAGCAATACTTACCACTCACGAACCGGTACTGTCGATTATTTACTCTGTTGTTCCCTCTTATTCTACTTTTTGGGCTGAACTGTTTACTTTTATCACAAAAAATAAATAATTAATTTCGTGTTTTTAAAATGAACGCTAATAACACATGGACATTCTACAACAATATTCGGACCATTAAGAAAATGGAAAATGATTACAACCTGGCCGAAACAAAAGCACAAAATGGTTACGAAGGAAAAATGAATTGGCGAATTATTCTGCATCCGAGACCTCATCTTCATCTTCTTCCAAAATGTAGACCAGAGCACGCTTTCTTGCAGCAAATACACAAGCCACGCCTCTAGATGCTGTCCAGGATACAAGGGTTCAGTGAAGTTTATACCCAGATTAACACAATAACCAATTGGAGGGTAGAAATCAAACATATCTTTAAGGGAGGAAAACATTAGCAACGATAATCATTATATAAATCACAAGTTTCGCTTTCAAAAGGCATTTATGTTGAAGAAGCGTTTGGGTGATCCTTAAATATAACATGTAGATCCAACCTATATTCATTACCAATTTTATCGTCTTAACTTTTGTACCTCTGAATGTTGTCAAATGTTAACGAAAGACTGATTACAAATAAACATTCTCCAGGAACATGATTAATTTTTGTATCAGAACTGAAACACATTTAGTTAATTTCCTAAATTTGATTATTGTAATGTACCCCTGATATTTGCACCAAAAGATCAACACGCACTACATGGTGATTCATAAATCAAATACGCTGCATGAAATTAAATTTAGGGTAGATACTCTGCGGTTAAGTAGAATCGGTTTATTTACAAAATTTAATGCATTTTAACCATCGGCAGAGAGATAGAGATAGATAGAGACAGTACTCACCACTAACTGCCAAGGGAGCAACTACAGAATGTGGGATGGTGCGAGCTTTCTCATCCTCAATATGCAAGTAAGCAACAGAATCCTAGACACATAATAACAAAAATATGACTATAATGAAATATAAAAATTATAAATTCCTTCCTTAAGGAGACATCTATACAGAATATAAATACAGATAATGGTAATTTTTAAGTTTATGATAAGATTTGAGATTTTACGAGAGTCTGAAATTGTGATACAATTGGATTGATTTCACAGTAATGATTTCCTTTTATTATATAATTAGGGTAATTGGGTTTAATATCTTGTAGCTCTTATAATTTACTTTTTTCAAAATTATGGGAAAACTCTTGACAACGTTTCTGTTTATAAGATAGGCCTAGGAGCCTGCTCTAAGCAGGTTTTCAGTCAAATACTTGTTCCACGACTGTGTTTATCTCATACAGCCCATTACAAGTGGATTTGATAAAATTCAACGAAAATTAGTCATCCAAATAGTGCAACCGCTGTTTGTTATCAGTCCTTGGTGTTCCCGTCATCGAGTTTATCTTCCTCAGATTGCTCTCCATCAGTGTTATATAGTCCCAATCTGACCCAGTTTAACTGTTGGTCATCTCATTGGCTGTGGCATTCTACTGTTTGGTTGCCGCCTTACTTTGTACGTTGTTCCTCTCTTGGTTTGGATGCTGCATTTGGTTGTTTTTACCTATGATATCTCGTTTGCTTTTGGGCATATTGTGACTGTTTTTCTTGTTTTCACCATATGATATCTTCTTGATCTCACGTCTACAATGGCTAGTAACAACACATAATCCAGCAGTTCTGAATTCTAAAATAAGGGTTTGGTGTCTTTTTTTTCTTATGGAAATCCTACAGTAGTATCAGTAAAACTTGATGGAAAAACTATTTGAATCGGGCAGGCGCTGTCATGACAAGGTTCCATAATCAAGAGTTTATGATCGTCTTATAAGAAAGAATTCTCAGAATATTGATCAAGATTAGGGGTGGGCATAGTTTATCTAACTGAACTTGAACTGCAGTTAACTGTATTGTTTTATACTTAAAAAAACTAAACTGTTTTTACTAAAAACTAATTAAACTATTTTACAGTTCAGATTAAAAAAACTGAAACTTAATAATTTTAGTATGGTTAACTAGTTAACACATGTGTCTCTTCATCTTTCGTCTCTTCATCTTTCTTCATCGGAATCTCTCTTTATCACCACTGCACCTCACACAGATTTTGCCAAGGTTCGTTGCTCTCTTCCTTCCTACCGTCGCCCATCCCGCCGTCGTCCATCCCGCCGTCGCCCATCCCGCCGTCGACCATCCCGCTGTCGCCCATCTCCCTCTATTAGCCCTCTAGGGTTTGCTTTTCTTGAGGTAGGTTTTGTGGAAGGCCTTAGCCTTGGCTTCGAATTCCCGAAGAGAGTAGTGATGACCGCTGTACCATACGCGGCGGCGCACTGGCTGAACACGTCGGGGGCAGAAGCCGATCTGCTGTTGGCGCGTGGTAAAGGTGGGCTGGGAGCGGGTGAGGTTGGCAGTTGCTGTTTTCTTAGGAGAAGGGGGAAGCGGGGGAATGATCTTGCATATTCCGTACTGAGAGGCTTCTTTCTCAATTTTAAAGATATAGACGATCGGGTTTTGAAACTCCGCCTCGGTTGGGCGGTACTCCGGAGCCACCGGCAGCGACTTCAGCCACGGCAGTACTTCCTCCGAAGCTGTCATTCTCGGGATTCAGCTGAGCTCACTGTCTCATTCACTCACTGCTCTGTTCTTTTCTCCAAAAACTTGGTTTGATCAGATTCCTTTTTTGAACATTTTTTGTATTCCTTATAGAAAATCGAGAAGATTGAAAGAAAACAGTAGGTAATTTGATTTGATGAATTATTAGATTGAAGAGTTTTGTGAGTTTTTCTGCACCGCTAGTTTGAAGCATAAATTGACCATTGCATTTGTCTATTTCCATTACTGAACGTGAAAGAGAAATATACCAAGAAGAGTGTTTTTGATGCAAACTGAACTGTACTGCAGTATAAACTAAAAAAATAGTTTAGTTCAGTTATCCTGAACTATTTTTTAGTTCAGTGCAGTTTTGTTGAAATAGTTTATAATTATCTATAGATTGTAACAGTGCAGTACACTGTAGGACAGTTTGCCCACCCCTAATCAAGATAGGTGAGAAGATTGGGAATAAGGAAACTGCCACTAGTATCTCACAGCAGTCCATTGATCCAAAATTGTCGAATGTTTATTCAAATGATATACAAATATCCAATGCCTTAGCCTGTTAGGAACCAAGAATTGAAAAGAGAGACGAAAAGTTTTTGTGGAATAGAGTGAAAAGAACAAGAAATAGGAGAGCACTCTCCCCTTCAAACGCTTCCCCTTCACAAAAAACTAACAGTCTACAAAATTCAGCCCCTTCCTCCTCTCCTTTCGTGTTTATATCTAACTAACACCTCAACTAACTAACTCATAAATATTCTAACTATCTTAAATAATTTCTCTTCTCCGTGTAACATGTTCATAATTATTTATACAAACAGAAAATGAAAACAAAATATTTTTTTTTAATCAACCAGACCCTTAATTTCTTTTATTCTTTCGTTTTCATTTTTGCCTTTTTGATGAGTAAAAGAGCTATAAAGAAAAGACATTCAGAACAAGGGAATTTTTTGTACCTTAGGAGGAAATTTCTTTGGACATCACACGCTTGATCATTGATTTCTAAAATATCTCTATTGCCTCCTAGGCTTGGTTAATTGTAATTTCTATACAACTAAGGAGTTATATGCAGTATACGTAAATGAAATATTTACATCCCCTTTCACTTTGAATTTAGAGATGTTTTACTTTGTCTGATCCTCTTATTTTCATAAATTCTATTTAGTATTAATGACCCAAAACCAAGGGTAAGCTTTCTAGGGATATATTCAGTCAGGATGATTAAAAAGAAAATGTGAAAAGCCTTGGCACCAAAGATACAGGGGACCTTAACTAACAAAGATAACAATAAGTGTTAATAGAAAAAAGAGTATTGGTTACATAAATCACAAATGTATACCATAGACAATGAAAACAAGGGACATGAGACAACTAGGACAGCTTACCTTAAGTTCTGGTAATCTCCAGACATCTATATGAGCAGATCTTGATATAGAGATATACGGTAGATCACTTGCTTGCAGAATCACCATACAACCATCACCAGCACTTTCTGATGTGTTAGTAACTTTGTTTAGTAACAAGACAATTTGACTATCCTGTTTTAAACATCAAAAAATGAAAGGATAAATGTTGAGATTTGTGAACAATAAAATTGAGACCATAAAAGCTGTATGATGAAATACTTCTAACTTTCTCGTTACCTTATACAAAGACAGATCCACACATTGATAATCAACAGGAACATGTAACAGCACCGCTTCCAACGTACTGCACCCCTTCTTTAGGCAGTGTGAATCATGCATGAATCCTCTAACTATGCATAGGCAATTTATAATATCCGAGAAACACTCATCAGGTACTTGGAAAGATACATAATCAATAAACTGGTTTTGACCAGTTTGAGGTGTCACAGAAGCTCCAGAAGAATCCTACATCAAAAAGCACGAAGTGAATAAAATAATACAACACTATAATAGAATTAGAAACCAACCGACATCAAATTCAAATGACCACAGACATAAGGAAGAAAAAGGCCTCTAGTTCTTACTGACTAGATTAATAGGAATCATCGAGAAGTACCTCATAATATGATACTGAAGTGGGAATTCTCATGAATGAAGATGATTTTGGCAAAGTTGGTACAGGAAACAATGGTAGTATATCCTCGCAGAGTATCTTTCTTGATATTGTGGTAAAAGGCATTTGAAAAGCCTCTTTAAAGCTGAAAGACAATGACGTCACAATGTAAATCTGACAGAAATACAGTGATATGGCTAGAACAATCTGAAAAAGATATGTTTGCAATTTAAAAATACAGTGATATTATCTTATCTGCTGAGTCCATGCGATAAGTGGAAGCTTTTAGGTAAATCAATTTTTGAAAAGAGATCCCTTTTTGTTGAAACTATTTTAAGATGGTATGCATTCAAGCTCAGGTCTAAACCAGTAGAGCGATAAATTGTATGAGTCATAATGCTTCATGATGCTTCATTGTTCATCTACGCTAACCTCCCAAAGTTGTATAACTATGAATAATTCATTATTTCTTTACACTATGGAATAAGAAAAAATTTACACGGGAAAAAACAGATAGTTTTGTTCATGACATTTCTCAATATTTTTGCAATTTCATTCATAACAATTTAAGCACTATAATCACCAATTTGGTTCATGAGTGTAATGGAAGGTCAAGATAAACAGAAAAAAGGTATTGTCTAATTAGACGGAATAAAAGGGCAAAAAGAAAAACCTTAGTTCCATCAACTGAAATTCTTTAGCCAATGTTCTCCTTAGATACTCAATGTCTGAAAATCCCCCAAATTGAACCAATTCTCTAACTCTTTGCATTGTTTCCCTGAAGAAAAAGAAAAAATCAAATTAAAATGAGATTAATCTCAGGAACACAGACTAATATATAAGGCTTAAACATCTTTTTAGTCTATGTAAAGTTAACAACTTATTTTGGTCTATAAATTTTTTTCTATTTTTTCTCCCCATAAAATTTGAAATAACTCTTTCTAGTCTATATAAACTGTGTAAATTTTGATAGTAGTCAATGTAAAATGTTTATCTTTGATTTTCATCCCCCAAAAATTTTCAATAACTGTTTTTTGTCCCTTATGTATTCGTTTTAAGATTAAGAGGTTTTTAGGTGACACAAGTCGACATTATATTACAATAATGATGTGTCACTTGGAATGGTCATTAACCTTTTGTCCAACACATAAGTAGTTGATTAGTATCATAAAATACTAGGAATCAAAAGCCTAATTTTCAATTATAGAGGAGCCAAAAATAAAGAAAAAATTTACACGAACCAAAATTAAAACTCAATTATTTTACAGGGACTAAGAAATATTTAAGCATATATAAAATGTACATTGTTTTGAATGATTATGTAACACTGACTAAATGGCATCTCAGTACAGGCATGCATGATACGTATTACTTGGGACTAGAAGACAGAACTGAGACTCAAGTACAGGTCAATTTGGACATCAAGGAGTACCATACTGCAATCAAGAAGGTGAAACAATGGAGATGGCCTTATTTGGTTGATCATAAAGGAAGAAACTTATTTTGAAATACAGAATATCAGTGAATTATACAATCCATTGGGTTAATCTATTCAGAGAAATAAAGCAGGGAATTAACCAAGTTGAAACACGAGGGATCAATAGCGGAGTTTACAAAAGTACTGGAACTTCTTTCATCACGAGATAAGTATTTACCTTTACAACAATATTTGGAGTGTTTTTAAGGTGAGTTGCGACCTGATACATCAGGTCCAAACTTTTCAGCCCAAAAACAAGAATTTGGGCTGTTGCTGCACAGAGTAAAGAGGTAGAAATGCACTTGTGTCCCAAAAAAAGTAGGCAAGAAAAAATGGGATCTTTTAGCAGTGTTTCAAAACCATCAAAGGGTTCTGTTGTCCACATGATCGTGCAGGATCAATTATTACAACAAAGAGGAACGATAGTGTAATTTCAGACCAGTTTCAAACTCAAATATGAATCAATATAGCCAAAACAAAGGAACTTCATCTGTGATGTTCTCAGGGAGAAGAACAGAGGGTGAACACTGAAATTCAGCAGAGAGCAATAAAGGCCTGCACCATTTAACATATCAATAATTGATAGAAAGGAAAAACAAGAAGTGTTTATGCTTTAAGCTTGGAGAAAACTTTCACCCCTAACATCAATGGGCAAAAGAACAATTAATTTAGGGAAATGTGGGTGAATTTTTTTGTTTAATTTAAAAAAACTATAATAAACAGATTTCTATTTATTTTTATGTGTTTGTCTAATCTGATTATTTTAGATGTATTTCTCAGCTTTTTTAGAGAAGCAAAACCCATGGGATTCTTAAATAAGTGATTTTTTTTTTTAAATGATTATTTCAGATCAGAAATACTTATTTTAAGTTTAAAAAAAAAGTGATCCAATGAATCACTAAACAAAAATGAAGAAATTGTTATTGCAGTGGATAAAGATGGTGGAGTGGAAAAACCAAATTCCAACTGTCAGCCTTGGAAAAAAAACTGATTCTTCAGCTGACAGCAACAATATGAACTGATAGTCAGGGACAGATAGGCTAGTTATACGTAGAAAATAACTTCTTCAGAAATCAGTTGTTTTAGAAACAAAGACTATGGTTATTTACGTGTAGAAAAAACTGCCGGTTTAATTCTCACACAAATTGATAATAAACGGAAAAATATAAGAGAAATTGGAGTAGAAAACAACTTACAAATCAATTTCAACTTCATATTCTATTTCAGATATTTCCAGCAATTGTTTAACTGGATCTTGCTCGTATAGAAACTTCAAGAATATAATAACAAGTTCACTGCCAAAACCAAAAATAAATTCAGACAAAAATCAGCTTTTAGAATAATTCATAACATTAAGGAATGTTTAAATGAACCTGTTATACGGTAGAAGCTGGTCACTTGGTTCTGACATGAGTAATTTTATACACTTTAATAGCCAGTTGAAGAAGTTTGAGTACTGGTTGAAAAAACATAAAGAGGAAAAAAAATAATATCAAAATAATAGATACAATAGGCTTTTATAAAAACGCATTCGTTGATATATTTCAAACATTATTTTCTGTGCAGACATGCGAAATCCAAATAAGTGTTCCATCATTCCCAAAACATCCAATCACAAGCTTATCATCGGATCCTATCCTCCACAATATTACATGCTCATAAAGCACAGTATAAGAAATGGTATCATAATCAAAGTAAAAATGTGATAACATACATAGATTTTCACCACTTCAAACACATGCACTCATTTCCGTAAAAAATGTTGCTTCTGACAAGGAAGCAACATTTTTTCCCTGAGTTTCCACCAAATTTATCCTAATAATTAAATATTAGAAGTCAATCAATACATTTTTTATAATAGAACCACAAGCAGCAATGTTTTAAAGCTAGATCAATTATGAAACCGATAAAGACAATTCAATGGTTGAACCACAGTTCATTACGAAATAATTCAAATATATTTTTATTCTTATATAATATATTAAGTGATGAACTAAAATATAGAATTGTCACAGATTAAGTTATGCAAAATTTTAAGGATCATATTACAAGTCCTACAACATAAAAAATTCATAGTAAATACTTAATAGAAATACATACGTAAAACTCAATCTTTGATTATTTAGAAAAAGGTTTTGAATAAAAATAATAATAAACCATCACCTTTTCAAAATCCAGATTTCTGAACTGGAATTTTAGCCACCAGTTTTTGACTGATCTAATGAACTAACTAGCTTCAGGTCATATTAGCTGATCCATTTTTACAAACTATGATATATGGAATTTAACTATTGTAGCTCTCATGGAAATATATAGCTGATAACAATTTAAAGAACATGATAACAACAGAGCTAAAATTGAAAAATAAAGCTATATTCTACAAGATTCATTTTAAACAAAAAAGGCACACCTGCTGCACAACAGATGAAAGAACCCTCATAAATCGTTCAACTTGTACAAGTAACGTACCAGCCTTTTCTGTTGCATTGTTAATAAGTGATTCATCCAAGCCAATGCTGTGATAGCGTGCTCGCCATCTTGAAAGCCCTCTTAGTTCTCCTATTCTGAATCCAATAACTTCTACAGCAGGCTGAAAAATACATTTAAACTTCCATGAGAGCTTAAGTGAAGTGTGTACAAATACTGAATAAACTCAAAAGTAAATGAACTTCTAATCCCATGTCAAGAATGGAACAGTAAAAGTTCAGGAGATTGCATGAATACGCAGGAATTTTTATATCACCTAACAATTTATTCAATACCCTACCATTTCACCTTTTGTGTTTTAATCTCATGGTAATTCCCTGTCAATGTTATTAAAGTAAGTGAAGCTACCCATTTTCTTCTAGAAAGGTCAGCCAATTATATGAAGGACCCTGTGTGACAACAAAACTAGAACTTTATAACTATAATTGCTACCCCAATTCTTCCGGACAACATCGAACTTAAGCCCCTTCAAGCTGGCCACAGGGGACAGCCTCTGAAGACCTAAATCATTGTGATAGGAGCAGACTTGCCTACAATGCCTACTTTGTTAATACATGGTAGGAATGAAATAATGACGTAGCTCAAACCCATTAATGAGGTTTGGAGAAAAGTTATAGAAGAAAGAAAAAAAAAAATTTCATTGTCTTTGAAAAAAGACTACAACAGGGTGTAACAGGAAGTTGTTTTCCATGACAAATTTTAAAATATTTGCTTTCAAACAATATGTTTCTCCTTATTGGTAAACATTGATGTATATTGTACCTGGAGGTGGTCCAAGACAATACGTTGAAGTTCTTTGCCTGCACCAGAGAGAACCTTTGAAATACGCTTGACACCCTGTAAAGAAAATATGTTGCTGAATGAAAACTACATCCACAAAGAGGAATGCAACTATATAAGACTGTAAGTATACCACTTCTCCCAGAGTGTTAACGAGAAATTGATGAACTGGTGGGCTAGTCCTTGCACCACCCAAAAGGCTCAGAAGCTCCTCTTGGGGTGAGGAATCAAGTCCTAGTAATCCAAGACAGGAACAAGTAAATTAAAGTGAGTGTAATGACTAAAACAAATTCCATAAGTCTTATTCAGTTACCATGATTTATAATCAGAGTAGACAAAGAGCTAAATTTCTCCTGGAATGTGTTCATGGCATCAGACCACTGCCTACACATAACTGATAATGATGTGCGAACAACCTCAGTCAAATCCTCAATGTTAGAAGCTTGTTGAGCTACTTGATGAAGCTCATTTTTCCTGTAAAAAAGATAGAAGGGATCAAATTGCAGAAATAAGATGCCAAATTTCATTTGCAATTGTCATTAAGGGAAAAGGTTTTAAATGTTACAAAGAAAAAAGAATGTAATAGCAAAGCATCCATTTCTCAAAGAATTTTTACCTATTCCAAAATATAGTAGTGTTCAGGGCTAAGCAATGCAGACCATGCTCATTGTACCCAGCCATGTTAGTTTCTCCCAAGTCAGCACCAACTTTAACAAGATCCCCTGAGCACATGACTATCAAACGACAGAGATCTTTTGATAATGCAACCTAGTGACATGTAACAACACAGCTTCCATGAGTAAGTTCCCAGGGGGAACATAACAAAACCAGTCATGTCCTTTATCTATCAGCTTATGCTTTTGGGAGAGTTATTTTCTGCATTATATTAGAACCTCTATGTTGGGTAAACTAGAATTTGATCCTAGCTACCTTCATTCTTCTGATAAAAAGCTCCGTTTTGACACAAGGTAGGGAGGCTTATGCATTATCTACACTTAAAGCACAAAAGGCTCTCACATTTAAGGCGGAATTAGTAATGAAATATAGAACCATTCACGTTGCTTCACCTAAAGCTCAAGCCTTTTTCAGGATTTGGTTCATGACCGGCATTAATTAACTTATGCAAGTTGAAGGCTCAATAATTTTTTACTTAAATATGTTTTTAGTCCCATAAACTGAGTTTCGATTTTGCTCTCCAAAAAAAAATTCTTTGTTTTTGCTCCCTTTGAAATTGAAAATCACCATTCCCAATTACACATACTAGTGTTGAAATATAATGGCTACATGTATCACCTCAAAAAACTCTTAAAATCAGTGATTTAAAATTTTAAAGGGATGAAAATAAAATGAAATAAAATATTCTACAGGGACGAACACAAAATTCACAGAAATTATAAAGACTGATTTCAAATTCTACAGAAATGAAAAAAAAACTATTAAAAACTTGTTAATTTTACAGAGACCAAAAATATATATAAACCATATTTTTTTCTTCACTGATTCATTCATGAGTGATGCATCAATATTTTGAACATGGAATCTCCTCTTTGACCATAAGATCGAGACAGCAGAACTAGATTGACTAATTTATTTACCATTAATCTTTTGGCAGAATTTCAAACATCATTGCATTCATCCATAAAAAGTTTTTGATGTAGTTCTTCTGCTTCTTTGATTGTATTTTAATTTGCCCTTCTCATATTTCAAAATTTTAAAATGCGCATCAGGATGTTAATTAATCAACTAGTTAATTTTAAGCATCAAGATATAGTTTAGGGTTTTCCAAATTTGGTCACCAACTAAATGGAACTGGAAGGCAAATGAAGTTCAGTGATCAAAACAAAAGAGAATCTACCTTCTGTATAGAAGCATTTGAAACTCTGTTAGTTGTTTCTGCACCATCATGGCAAGTAGGAAAAGTGAGGTTGTGTATGTTCTGAAAGGCAATAACCACAAGATGTTCTAATATTAACTAAAAAAGGCAAAAAATATAAAGGTAACAGAGAAACAGACAAGTCTAACTTGATATTAATGTTTAGTAATAATTATTTTACGAGTGTTTCTCTCTGAATATTGTATTGGCTTTAACAGAAGAAACATCAACAAAAGGTAATGTATCCTATCTTCCAATGTTATTAGCAATATCTTCTTAGTTAATTAAGTAATATCTAATACTACACCAAAGCAAAGTTGCTTTTTAACACCATACAAAATTATTAAAAATCCCGCTAATAAAATATGTACCCCCACCTTTGTCAAGTCTATCTGTCAATCCCTAAAATCTCAACCATGTAATAAATTTCTCACAGTAAAAACGCATGTTAAGCTTACTAACCAATAAGGAAAATATATGAACAGAAAACAGTATATAACAGGACTTGGGTCCACATGAATCAATAACACCACAATAGTAACTAATTAAGAGATCATTTTAGTCACTTTAGTAATCGAATATTAGTTATGCTGCAGATTAAACCACAATTAAATCATAATCTTCCGATCTTGACAGACAATCATGTAGGTCCCCATACACTAGGATTTAAAACAAAAGCTAAACTGCTTGGAAGAAGAACCGGTAAATAAATGATATATTAACTTAATATATTAACTAACACAAGCCCAAAAGCCTAGGATGTCATTCCCCATCACACCTCATAATTAATTTATATAATAAAAAAAATGCTAATTTCTGAGAGACAACGACTTACAACTTTCCCTATAGGGAAGATTCCAAATATACTAAAACAAATATTTCCATCTTTATCTGCACTGCATAGGATGTTGAATCGTTGGTGAGAAGAATTTGACAGCTCCTGAAATGAATCTTCACTATCATCCATGAACCCATTATCGCCAGAAACCAACCCAGGCATCCGAGGAACTCTTGGAGCAGGAGGAAAGAAACGAGAGGTTCTATCTTCATACTTAGAAGTATAACCATGGTCATCCTAGAAGAAAATTTAAGGAGGAAAGATTAAGATAGAGGACGAAAAGAAAAATAAAGTAGAACATCCAGTCAAAACATCCAGACTCATCATATACAAGATCTTCACAGTACAGTCAAGACACATTCATTCCCAGGTCCTCTCAATTTTCCTCCCTCTCAACAGCACCAATATAAGAAGCATTGATGTGGGATGGTACTCAGGTATATTTTCTTTCCAAATATAATGTGTCCGTGTTTTAGTTTGGAACATAAGTTTTAATAATCATGCAGGAATATGAGAAACAATAAACCAAAAGAATGGAATTGATGTTTAAAGTTGACATTGTGTACCTCTTGCATCTTGTGTATTTAATTCCACCATTTATTTTACAGATTCTTCCAATTCTTAACTCTAATACTACCAACTAAATCACAAGAACTAACTATTTTCTATTTAGAGCATACGACAATTGAATCAACAAAGTAAAAAATAATATCCATAGTTTTAACACATGCCTAAGCATCATATCTCACTTCGATTTTGCTAAATAAAGGTACACATAGAAACCATATTATAGTAGATAACAAGTATCTTCAAGACATTCCTCTGAATCAAAATTGATCAACCAAACTAAATACCAAGAGTGGCCATCACATAGAAAAAAACATACTGTAATGAGCTGACTTTCCTCCTCCCAGTTGAGACATATAATGGCTGCGCAATGTGATTTTAAGCTTCTTAGCAGCTTTCCATTCTGCTTATAGGAAATATAAAAATTAGTTATGTTACAGAAAAAAGAAAAGGAAATAAACCACAGACTCTATCCACACGCAGACAGAGAAATAAAAGCACCATTAAAAATGAACAGATCCACTTAGGGCCTGTATTTTTAATGTTCAAAATCCTTTCACCATAAAGATGTTCAAATGCAAAATATATGACTAAGATTAATTTGGACACTATTTCAATTACATTCCACCGTTTACAATCAAATCTACCAAAATTTATTCTACCCAACTTTGAAACCTGCAGACACTTTATATATCAGATAAACATGATTCTAAGCTTTTATCCCATCCTGCTAAGAAACCAACAGAATTACTAATACTAACCATGGTTGGCCTTTTATTGATAACTCTTCCTCAGATAGAAGAATATCCAATCACTTACTTGTTAGACTAGAAAATTTCAAAAACCATATTACCAAAGTAATCTTGAACAAGTAGAAGCCTTGATCCTCAGTTAAGATCAGTATTAGTAGAGATATTCAACAATGTCTCAAAATGGTAAAAGCACAGAGCAAGATGATCAATGCTACATGAATTATAAGTGAGACTAAACGTTAAGTAGCTTGCTTAACCCGCACGCCTAATAATAAAAACTCAGTCCTGGAACTCTTAGAAGTTCCACACGTACATTTTTTTCTTTAGATGTGTCATATCAAATAAAACATTTATTAACACATAACATAACCAGAAGTATTACAAAAGAAAAATCAAAGCAATCAAGAACAACGGACTAAAAAGATTACTTATAAAAAACCAAAAACAAAGCACCCACCTCAACATCATGCAGTGACACCATCCCGTCGTCAAGCCCAACAGCAATTGCTTTTCCATCAGGACGCCAACACAAGGATGTGATGCATTTTCCTACAAGGCAAAGAAACATTCCATGACCACCGAAGCAAGCAATTGAAGCAGCATTTAGTACGCGACTATAACTTCGAATTCCAAAAGAAAAGCCAGAACAACGCGTGGCTTATCGTTTCAACACATTTGCAAATTGTAAGCACTTCACAAGGCATCAAAAACACCGAACACTCAAGTATAGCAATTTTCACTGTCTATTTAAAAGCAAATAAACAGAAGAAAACAAGTGAGAGAAAGAGAGACCTGGAGCTATGGTCCATAACCGTTGCCAATTGAAACGATGGAGCAGGATCTTGGAGTCGTCAGTAACCATAGCGAGCAAGTCCTTCTCCGGATTCCACTCCGCAATCGTGATCTATGATTCAGAAGTCGTTCATAAAATCTAACAAACTTTTAAAACGGCATGGAGATAGCTTAACAGTGACCCAAATGTGAAAGTTAAATTGACAAAACCTGAGATGCGAGGGGTTTATCAAATTGAAGCTGGAAGGGAAGCATGCGAGAGGATTCATCAGTTTCCATGTCCAACGGAAACACTGAGCTTCCGAGAAAGTTCAAAATGTATACTGATTCAACAAAATTAAATGAAGTAAAGTGTGAACGGCGCGAGTGAAGAAAACCCTGAGCAGTGAAGTGAGGGTGGTTAAGACCAGACGAACAAAAACCTCGCCAATGCACCACCGAAATCGAAGATCCACACCACTTCCCCTTCTTCCAAGTGCACCAACTATACCAGACGAAATTTCAGTGCACTCTGTTGCCTTCAAATTTCTTTCCAAAACCAACCTTCAAATCGCAATGCGAACTCCCACCAAGAACCCTAACCCCATTCTGGTTGCGAAAAAAATTATATCCCCTTCTTCCAAATATCGAACTCGGAAAATTCCCTTCGGGCTCTCCCATTTCAATGCAATCTTCTTTTTCTTTTCCTTATTATTCTATCAATTTTCAACTTCCCAAATTACTCTTTTTTACTTACTGTCATCTTGGAACCCACACATAGCACGTGTCATTTGAATGTAAAGAACAAAATTACTTTTCATAAAAAAACTAAAAAAAGAAATATAATTTAACATATAAAAGCTTTTTATATTCATTTTACACAATTTTTTATTTTTTATTTTTTATTTTATAAAAATATAAAATATTTATTCTTTTATAACTATTTTATTTTTATATTATGTGTTAAATAAATATAAAAATGTGTTATTCTATTGTTAGCAAAAGAATGTATGTACGAGAACTTAATGAATTTTTCATTAAAACCAAAAGGATATAGTTATATAGTTATATAGTTATGAGGATTAAATGAGCAAATTAAAAATATATAAAGTAAAATAAAAAGAAAATCCCTAATTTTACAATAATAAAAACAAAATTCAAGCCTATTTTATTTTTCATATTATATTACACTAAAGAGAAACTGTTTCAAGCGTATCATGTAGTGGGTGAGATTTTGAACCGCGTGGCCAGCCACAGACAACATCCATGTCAGACGTATCCACCAATGTCAATTACATCCAATATTATATATGTTTATGCCTAGAAATTAACACTAATAAACCGGCTTTCATTTTAAATGCAGATTGAACTCCTAATCTCTCCTCTATATAAACTAATATCCACACATTCTAAAATCACACCTCTTATAACATCAGAGTCAGATAATTGAAAAGGAGCTTGGAAGAGCAAGAATGAAGTCCACAGTCACCAGCTTTGCTCTTATACTCTTATCTCTTCTCGTTGTGTTCCTTCTTGTGGTAACTCCAGCGGGTAAATCTTCAACTGTTTTAATTGCTAATAAGTTTAAATAATTGGCACTCTAAGTGAGGGTACGTATGATCAGGGATAACACAATTTTTTGAATAAATCATTATGGAAAAATTGTTTTGAATTTAATGTGCATGCAGTTGGAGGTGTAACATGCAAGGCTGTTCATGGCGTGGAAGAAGGTGAAACTTGCACGAGCATCTTTCAAGGTTTCAATCTGCAAGAGCGTGACTTCCTTCTTATCAATCCCAATATAAACTGTAACTTTATCTTTGTTGGTCAATGGGTGTGCGTGAATGGAGTTGCACCATGAGATTTCATCCAATTCTAAAAGTGAATAAACCTATGAAGAAATAAGGAGAAACTAGTATTTTATGTTATTCTATCAATACAATCCGTGTTGCATGTTTGAAATAACTTAATGAATAAGATGAGTACTTTGATCTTTATCACTAATATAACTTGTTAAACATCCTAACCCTCAGGACTTTCAGTTATATTTATACACTTTTTTTACATAACAAATTGGGAAAAAAATATAACGTTATATTTTATAATAAGTTTTTAAATTTTAACCGTAGCAGATGTCGACGTGATTCATTTATGCGGATTATTGTATATATTAGTTATGTTTTTTTTTTAAATGATTTTAATGTGTCATAAATATTAGGGAGTTGAATGAATATTTTGTAAGAAAAAAAAAATTATAATATGAAACACATTATTTTTAAAAGTAATAATACGAAAACAAGTAATCGAAATTTTATATGATATATAGTGAGATGCATTAAAAAAATGTATTTCTAAATGTTAAAATTGTACATTTTAACAGTTGAAAATCATCATAAATAAAAATTACTAATCATTAAAAATTGCTACAAAAATTACTTTTATTATATAATAGTTTATCATATGTTGACCGTTAAAAACCATTATAAAAATATATCATATCTTATTATTATTTAACACCAATTAAAACTTGGAGAGTAACGGAAATATTGACATTTGAATTCTTTCCTTTGTCCATTTTTTTTCCTGAGTGTCCACCAAATTTCTCCTAATAATTAGATATTAGAAGTCAATTATTATATTTTTTATAATAGAACCACAAACAGCAATGTTTTAAAACTAGACCAATTATTAAACCGATGAACACAATTCAATAACCACTGGTTAAGAAATAATTAAAATATATTTTTAATTTTATGTAACATATTAAATGATAAACTAAAATAAAGAATTATAAAAAAAAAATAAGCTATGCAAAATTTTAAGGGTCATATTACAAGTCCTACACATAAAAAACTCATAATAAACTGTTAATAGAAATACATACGTAAAACTCAATCTTTGATTATTTAAAAAATGTTTTTGAATAAAAATAGTAATAAACCACCACCTTTAAATATACAGATTTTTGAACTGGATTTTAGCCCCCAGTTTTTAACTGATTTAGTGAGCTAACTGGCTTCATGTCATATTGGCTGATCCATTTTTAAAAACTGATACACAGAATTTGAGTAACTATTGTAGCTCTCATGGAAATATATAGCTGATATCAATTTAAAGACCGTGATAACAAGAGAGCTAAAATTGAAAAATAAAGCTACATTCTACAAGATTCATTATAAATGAAATAGATATATATTCATCTCTTTTCCCATGCTAAGTAAATACTTAAACGGTATCAAAATAATTCGCACCTTTTTACATTGACGTTAACATGTTATTTACTCTGATAATGAACCTCGTCTTACAAACATACCTTAATCAATTTTCGTAAGACAAAACTATTCACTATAATTATATTCATAGTATAATTCACTGTACATCATAGGACAAACAAATTTCACAATAACTCATGTCAATCTCTACAATGCTAAATGAAGATAACTTTCACAAAAAATACATACCTTCTCAACGGAGGTGCATAAACCTACCCAACATACCGACTCCATGATCCACTTCAACTGCAACACCAACACCCTCCCTTATACACTACAAAATAAAGTAACCCACATTGCAAAATTAAATTGTGTGTTATGTCATTTCGACGAGTATTTGCTTTCTTATATCTAACCCCGTTGGAAATGAATTAAAACTTATAATAAATATCAAAGATATAAATATATTTCATTCAATGAACTTACATACCTTTTTACCTCTCAAAGTATTTATAGATTTTGATTTGGGTTTATGATTAACAAGTTGTAATGACAACCCAATACCTAATAAGTAACTCTTAACCGTAAACTTGATTAGAGACAATGTTTAAAGATACGTATGGTTTGAGACCATCTTTCCACTTGTCCTTGTTCGGTCGTCCTCTCTCCTATTCATACAGGTATATTGTACAATTGGTACTTTTATTAAAAAGAAATTTAAAAGTTAAAATCCATCACAACATTTTGCTTTTTTTATATATCTTTTATAATATTCTAACAATTAAAATCATCCACAAAATATATTATATTTTATGATCAGTGCGAATCATATACTCTATGATACACTACATTCCCTTGTATTTGAAATCAAGGTATGCGTATTTGAATTTTGAGAGAAAGTGTCCTTTATTCAAAGGAAAACAAGGCATATATAACCTTTAATAAAAGAATTTGTAATGCTACAACGTGCTAAACAATTATAT